CAACACCGTCCTTTCCGGAGGAACCACCATGTACCCAGGAATCGCTGACCGCATGCAGAAGGAGATCACCGCCCTCGCCCCAAGGTAATTCATTAGAATGCTTCGGAGCTTCTAACTGATTGTTTTTCAGCACGATGAAGATCAAGATCATCGCCCCACCAGAGCGCAAGTACTCCGTCTGGATCGGAGGATCCATCCTCGCCTCCCTCTCCACCTTCCAACAGATGTGGATCTCCAAGCAGGAATACGACGAGTCCGGCCCATCCATCGTTCATCGCAAATGCTTCTAAACGTTTTAACCATTTATGTATTATTCACCTGAACTTTTGGAAATGTCCTGATAACGTCATCTGCCTTACGGATTTTCACAACCCGATTTTAATTTATAAATCTGCTTCGTGCAAGCTACGTTTTAAATTTGTCGGATTTTTGTTTAATAATATTTCTGATTTCGATTCAAATCAAGTACCTCCTGTTCAATCTGAAATGCTCTCGAGAAAACTAATGCAGTCTGCATATCAGATCTCCTATCTCTCGTTCGTATAAGAGGGAGGAGAAATCACTCATCCGCCTGATCAGTTTTGTTGCGCGGGCGCTAATTCGTGTTGATCGTCAAGTGCAGATTGCCAATGCTGATAAGGGGTTCTGGAGAAGGTGTTATCAGTCGGGTGTCGATTACACAATCGTTCCGATTGCCCGCGATACTTCCGATTGATAGCGCAGTGGGGTAATTGCATCTTTCGGGGACCGCTGCGGAATTAGCAGGTCGTTTTCCGATGTTCCAGTGTGCTCAACTATTATAGGGGCACCGGACAGAAAGGGCGCGCTGTTCGCAATCTGGCCGAATTTCTAGGCCGCGAAGTAATTTTCCACTGAAAATGTGGCCTAACTTTTCAAACTCGGCCCCGAGGTCGCTCAATTTGCACTGCAAAGGGAGTTTCTCAACAGAGCGTCATTTCTGTGCGGTGCCCCTATAATACTACTACCTACACACAAACTCCGACCTTGAACAAATAGGAGTTTGCCGATGGTTTCCAGGAACGGTGGCTCACTAATACCCAGTTAATTCCGTGTCGACGACAAAAAGAGAAAAGAAAACTTTCTCTCTTGGTCGTCGTCGATGTGTGTTTGAGTTGTGCGTGGAATACACCCTCTGCCTGTACCACTTGGCATACACTGACGAAGAGAAGAGGGGTAGCAAACAGGGGCGCGGAGAGAGAAGTCATCAAAAACTTAGTGCAAAATCCGCCCGGTAGTTATGTGGAATTAGGCAGTGCAGTGACTGTTTGTGTGTGTGTGCGTGTTGACATAACTGACTGACTGACTTTGGAGCGAAAAGAAAAACTGTCGAAATTACCGCGGAAATCGGCTTGTTGTTTTCGACGACGTCTACAGACGTTTTCTCCATTTTCTCGCCGTCAAATACAAGGGGCTGAAAACTTGATCGGCCAGGGAGTGAACTGTGCGCAGCTTCTGATTAGAATACATGATCTGATGAAAATTCGGGAGAATGATAGACTTTATCTTTCCTAATAAACAAGATCACTTGAGCTCGCGTATTTCTGTTCGAATATTTTATTGCAGACCTGAAAAGTTTCATAAAATTTGATCTATTTTTGAAACATTTGTTCGGGTTGATCTTTTTGAATTGCGGACCGGCGCAAAATTTTAACATTTCTAAGAAGCCAAAACAAAGCCATCAATCGGTCGATTTTTCATAATTTGTCTCATTTTTTCCGCTGTGTGCCCGTTTTGCTGGGTCCTCTGGCCTTCTCGCTTTCTTCCTCTTTCTCGGTTCCGTTTTGGTCAATGCGAAGCGGCCGGCTGGCCGGGCGCGCGCGCTCGGTGTTTTTTGCGAACAGAAAAAACGTGTGCGTTTCTCAGCGATCTCTTCTTTTCATGCGCTGTTTGTCCCACGCAGCCCGTCGCCGCGTCCATCCGTCCGTCCGTCCGTCGATGGTGACTGGAGGTACCCGCCGTTACTCGATAGGGCCTTTTGTGGATGGCCTCTCCCCGCTCTCTCGCTCTCCCGCTCACTCACTGCCTCTCTGTGTCCGTCGAGGGGCGCACGCGCCTTCTTTCTACTGCTGGACGATGAGGGACACTCTGTGGTGAACTGACTGACTGGCCGGCCAACAGGGACTGACACAGAAACGCGCCGCGCGTCGGCAGTATTTGAAAAGAGCGCGTACTTCGCGTTGTCGCCGACGCCACTCGCTCTCAAAGTTGTTTCCGAATTCGATTCAAACACTCGGAGGCGACGAAGACTTGGACTACGATCACTCTTTGTTTGAGAGTCAAAGAGTCCATTTGGTGTCATCGATCGTTAGTGCAATCTCCCTGCGATCAAAGGGCAATTATGTATTCCCTCACCATTTTCTCCCTTTGACAATTTGTCAGTTTGATTTGGAGGAAACGGAAGAGACGGGTCCAGCGATGCGTCATCGCTCAGCCGCTCTGCCCTTTCCATACAGAAATACATTTTCCTTGTTTTTATTGCGAAACCCTGGCGCTGTCGGCGACTTTTTCCCTACGACCATGTTTGGTCTGAAATGAAGATGATTCATCGCTTCGAAACAATAACATTCCGTCAATTTTCAGCGAATAATTTCAAATTTCCTTTCTCTCAGAAACCAAAAATAGGTGCCGACGGCGGTTAGTAGTATAGCAGTTTTCGACGGCGCAAGACAAATAAGCGAGACTTTTGTGGGATTTTGCAAAATTAATAATTCATAGGCTGTATAGTTACTCCACGCATTACTTCAGATTCTTTGCTTTCGCTTCGTTAGTAGTACACGTCGAGTGAGTTGCTTTGTTTGTTTATAGACTAACGTGTGTAAGCGAGCTAATTCTATGAGCAACTAGTACACTTCTCCGAATCAACTCCTTCGCGAGATGTGAAAATTCAAATTTGAAATTTGCGTTGAAAGTTCCGCGCCAAATGTAGCAAGGTCAGTTAGTACGCCTCACCAGGTGTGATCCTTGATCACTTGATGGTGAATCTTTTTGGCTTAAAAATCCGCAGAAATATAAAAAAAAAAGCCCTCTGATTACAATTTTGTGATGACTCCATGCCAGAGAAGAAGCGAAAGATCCGTGCTCATTGAGATCTTCCGTCGCACATTTTTCCTCCCTCTCACCGACGTTGCCGCCACCACCTCACCATCCAATCATTGCCTCGTAGTGTCGGCGTTTCGATTGTTGCCGCTACTCTATCTGCTCCCAGTGATATCGCTCCCGCGTGTCGCTTTTTGTGCCAATCGTCGCTGGCTTTTTGCATTTCTGTCTGTGCAGTCTCTCTCTGTCTCTCTCTGTCTCTCTCTCTCTCTTCGTCGGCACGCTACGAGATTCGGTGTAATCTTTGCGAAGAGAAGCTACTGCTGCTCTCGATCCCACTCCACCCACCCCCTCGATTCACAGAACTGCACAGGCGAAGAAGAGTGTAAACCGTCGAGTGCTCTAGGTGGGAGAGGCAGGAGATCCCGCCTCAGGCGGATGGGACTCCTCGCTCCTCATTCGAAGCGGATGATCCCTCTGATCGACACCTTCCTTCCCAACTTTCTCCTCACTTCCTTCATGACTCGGTCATCATTAGTGCTCAGGCACTAGCAGGTATTCATTATGGCAATGCATTAGTTTCTCAGCTCCCGCCAGTATTTAGTTCGACGCGTCAGTTGCCCAGCTTTCCGGGGGGTACCAAGCAACACTGGATAGCAGTTGTCTTCGTAGTGCAGGTGTAGGCGGTTTACGGTAACTTTCCTCGCCACTTGACTTTATGGTGCTATTAGGCAGCGCTCATTGCTTGAGGATAATCGGATCCGACTCGACGCACTTGATCAAGGCGGCAGCGGCGTCGGCGATTTTGGGCGGGCGGATGAACAGTTGGAGTGCATTTTGCATAAAGTACTTGTGCGCGCTCGCACTCTGTCTTTCGGACTCTGTATGTGACTGTTTGCGAAGCACTCGACTGATTAGATACTCGTTGCCACCCGGGGTGAAATCTCTTAAAGCAAACCAC